GTCTGGGCACGTCCTTCGCAGCCACTTCGCATTGTCCTGGCATGCCTGCCATCCCTTGCATTGTCTGGGTTCCCAGAGACTCCCAAACCCCTTAATTAAGGAATATACCTTAAATCATATTGGGGATCCTATTATAATTTAAGCTATATTCCTTAATTAAGGGGTTTTGGAGTCTCTGGCTTGCGGTCACGATTCTCCGAGACACAGCATGCCGCATACCTTTCAACTTCAACCTCGATGAAAGGAGGGATGCCCATGGCTCGGCACGAGACGCCTCGGAAAAAGATCAAGCAACCGTCTGCCGCTGGGCCATTGAACGAACGCACACAAAAACAGAGAGAGAGAGAGACATAGACAAAACACAGACACGTACACCTAACAATAAGCTTGTCTTTCACGGTCTTGCATGTCTTTGGGCTTCAGCAGCCCTACATTTAAGTCTGACAGCTTCCATGCAGTCTGATATGGAACATTACATCGTGAATAGTACTATCCCCTCATATACCCTGTATATTTACACTCGACTACATCCTACAACCCTGTTCATGTTCCTTTACGGCCCCTATTGGCATCAAGACGAACAAAATTGCATTTGCCTAAGTAGTCGCAATCCTCAGCCACCACGACAAACCAATCCCAGGTTCCCCAGTAGCCCCTTAATGAGGGTACCCTTTTTCCTACTGCCTGGTTTTAATTAAGGGAGCCCACGCAGAAGAAGGGAAAAGGGTACCTGAAGCCTAAACCCTAAACCCCAACAAGAGGACCTACCTATAGTCTCCATTGTAGTTCCTTTTCTTGGTTTAACCAATTATATATTCAGGATATTATAAGGCATCCCCAAAAAGGTGATTTCCATAGGACAAGTAATGTAGGGGTTAGGGTTTAGGGTTTAGGGTTTTGGGTTTAGGATTTGTTTGAGCTCCTTTTCCAAAGGGTTTCGGGTTGAGGGGTTTGGGTTTAGGGGCTTCCCTACGCCTAGAGTGCAAGAAGCCACAAGCCCAACGCCCAGGTAAACAAAAAAAAAAAAAAAACAGGAAATACACCGGGAGATCCCGACCCCCTATAGTATCCCAAACCTAAGCTTTCGGGACAGCACACTTTCTGAAGCCCTCGAGTGGTAGGCTACTTTTTCTGGGGGATTCTATTGGGCTTCTATTTCCGCGGTTCAGAGCCTCAACAAAGGCCAGGTTTGTGTTGATCCGTTTCCTTCATCCACGAGTCAACTAACATGGGACCTGGAGGCTGACCCACTTGGAGGGTCGGGGGACTTAGTAAGTGGGTAATCAGAGTTATAAGTACCCTAGAATAGGGATCCTAATTGGGGTTATGAATCTTATAACTCCATAAAATAACTACTTGCTATGTCCCCCGACCCTCCAACCATACCCCAAAGCACATAAGCCCGATAACACCCTCACAGGAACCCTAAACAGGATAATGCCGGGGGTCGCACCTAACCCTAAACCTGTAAACGCAAAGTCCCTAAGTCCTACTGTTGATGATATAAGTCCTTCATTACCTTACCTTATGGGAAGTATGGTATATTCCTTTCATTATGGGTATAGCGCAGGGTTTATATCATCAACCCTCAACCCTAAACCC